AAAAGTCCTGCTCTGTTTTCTTCAGATATGTTCAGATATATGTCAGTTGCTTCACCTGCCTTCTACTGATCCAATGTACTGATCCAACAAGCTCCAGAGTCAACCATTCGGGGCTCTATTCTGTAGGCCTCTATGATATAATCTAGACCACTAGAACCAAAAGAAGTTTCTAAGCCATTTCATCGGAATTAAATTCATTATTCATTCACTCCACTACACTCAACTCAAGTTAAATTTTTACAGTTCATATATTGCTTGCCTGTAAAGTTAAAGAGCCCAAATCATTACTTCCATCTCTGGTGAACGGTATGCCTCTGCTGGAACCCTGCTTCCCACACGGTTGCTGGCAACTAAGCAGACCACTCTACTGAAAAATATGGTCCTTGAGAAAGTACTCATTAGGATATGGCTTCGCAATTAGGGAACTCAATGCAAAATTGAAATCAGGACCCCAGGTTCAGATCCCAGATCAGAAGCCAATTCCCTTCAGTTTAAATAAAGCCAGTTGCCCCAACTCAGGCTTTAGTTTCCCCATTTGTACATTGGGCATTACAGCATTTAAGTGCCCAATAATAAGATAAAGAGGATTTCTTAGCATATGTAAAAGGTTGTATGAGTGAAAACCCACTCAGTGAAGAATGTAAACCGCTACGTAGAGTCAAGGGGAAATGAATAAAGCAGGACTCAACAACAAAATACACTAAGTCTTGGGATGGCAGTAAAACAATTTACTTGCCCTTCTGTATCTGTTAAAATAGATAGAGCAGTCACTGTTCTTGCTGTTCTTGTCCAGGAACAGCATGATATCCTGAGATTTTATTTGTCTATTTTTAATAGCGCTTGGCAATAACAAATATAGATCTGGAAGAGCAATACACCTTTCTCTATAAAGTCCAGTTCTGTACTCCCACTGCACAAGCAGGCCCTTATGCAACGCACCTCCTCTTCCAGCACACTGACTCCACTTACCTCTGTACAAGCACAGAGGGAAGTCTGCCTGTGCTTTGTATACTGCAGGACCATAAAACCAAAATTGTATAGTGTAAGGAGCAGCTAAAGAAACCGCATTCAATTCTGGACTGCGCTGTCCTACGGCCTATGGTAATATGTGTCTCCAGAACAGCAAAGGGAATTAAATGGCCGTTACTTGAAGAAAGCCAGGCTTCAGCCTGCAGAGCTAGGTCAAGGGATTGACAACGATAACATCCCAACTACATTCTGAGCTTTTCTTATAGTTCAGAACAGCTTTTAGGGTAAGCAGCAGCTTCTCCTGGAACCATGCCACCAAAAGAAATAATAAAGGAATAACAGCCTTTTAATCATCAATATTTTGTACACTCAAACAATAAACATTATCCTAGAAGACCTGCAGCACCAATTGAGAGTGAGAAGTTATTTTCATACTGCATTAATATAGGTTAGTGAGGAACTGGGAGCTCAAGGACCTTCTTTCGTGCTATAAGATACAAGTTTTGTGCTGTAAGATACAAGTTTTAATCACCATCCATTTTGTAAAAGCCAAATAAAGAAAAAATCCACTAGTGGTAATAAACAGTCTAGTAGAAAGAAAAAGTCTATGATAGCTTGGATACTTAGAATCACCTTTGTGAGAATCAAAAAAATTTAAAGAAAAGTTGTTCAGATGGCTCTGCAGCCCATCACAAAGAAGTTTAATGTGATCCAAGGGATAAAAGCTAGAGGAGCATGTACAACATTATTTCCGACAAAGACAGGAGGATTAAACAATCCAGGTTAATTCGGCTTACATTCAGGACTGCCCTCTGCAAAAGATGAGTCAGGAAAAGGCCCCAAAACTTATGAAAGGATGGAGCTTTGGTTCTACTTTGATCAAGTAGTTGAAAATTCTACCTTAAAATTATCACTCTCCCCCAGAAATCACATTCAAGCTAAGTCACGACTTACTGAAAGAACTACAAGATGAAGTTCTCTTACAGAGATAAAAATTAGACACATCTGAATTGTCCCTTCTAGCCGTTTAGAAATGCTTTCACTATTTAATAGTGTAAACCACAGGCACGTTATGAAAGCAGGCACCAAAAATCAAACGGGAGCAAAGGTGGTAGGAGGCCCGCATGCATGAACAAGCAGGTCCCGACTAAACTCAAACATAAAAAGGAAGCCTACAAGAGGTGGAAGCAGGGTCAGGTTACCCAGGAGGAATATAGAGACACTGTCCAAGTGTGCAGAGACTGGGTTAGGAAAGGCAAAACCCACCTGCAGTTGGATCTGATGAGGGACGTTAAGGGCAATAAGAAGGGCTTCTACAGGTATATCAGCAGCGAAAGGAAGACTAGGGAAAATGTGGGCCCACTGCTGAATGGAGTAAGGAGTTGGTGACAAGGGATATGGAGAAAGCCAAGATATTCAATGTCTTGTTCGCTTCAGTCTTTTCTGGTAAGATTTGCCTTTGGGAACCCCAGGCCATGATGAGCAAATAATCCTGGAAACCATTTCCAAACATATCACCGACAAGAAGGTGATCGGGAGCAATCAGTATGGATTTACAAAGGAGAAAATCATGCCTGACCAACTTGACAGCCTTCTACGATGAGATGACTGGCTTGGTGGATGACAGGAGAGCAGCAAGTGCTGTTTATTTTGACTCTAGCAAAGCTTTTGACACTCTCATAACGTCCTCATAAACTAACTGAGAAAGTATGTGCTAGATAAATGGACAGTGAAGCGGACTGAAAACTGGGTGACCATGCTGGACTGAAAGTGATCAGCTAAACAAAGTCCAATGGAGATCCATCACTGGCAGTGCCTCCCAGGGGTTGATAGTAGGGCCAGTACTGTTTAACATCTTCATCAGTGACGTGGATGATGAGACAGAGTGCACCCTCAGCAAGTTTGCAGATGATACAAAACTGGGAGGAGGGACTGATCCATCAGATGGCTGTGCTGCTATTCAGAGGGACCCTGACAGGCTGGAGAAATGGACTAACAGGCACCCACTTAAGTTTAACAAAGAGAAATGCAGTCCTGCCCCTGCGAGGAATAACTCCATGCACCAGTACAGGCTGGGGGCCAAACAGCTTTGCAAAAAAGGACCTGGGGGTCCTGATGGGCGATAAGTTGCACACGAGGCAGCCGTGTGACCTTGTGGCAAAGAAGGCCAACAGTATCCTGGGCTGCGTTAGGCACAGCGTTGCCAGAAGGTTGAGGGAGGTGATCCTTCCCCTCCACTCAGCATGGGTAAGGGCATGCCTAGAGTACTCTGCCCAATTCTGGGCTCCCCTGTACATGAAAGACATGGGCATACTGGGGTGAGTCCAGTACAAGGCCAAAAAGATGACTGAGTGACTGTAGCACCCGTCATCCGAGGGGAAGCTGAGAGAACTGACATTGTTTAGCCTTGAGAAGGCTCAGGGTGCATTTTATCAATGTCTATACATACCTGTTGGGAGGGAGTAAAGAAGATGAAGCCAAATTCTTCTAAACTGTATCCAATAAAAAGACAAGAGGCAATGAGCACAAACTGAAACACGTGACATTCTGTTTAAAAGTAAGAAACAACTGTTTTTTGCTTTAAGGGTGATCGAACGCTGGAACAGGTTGCTGAGGGATTTTGTGGAGTCTCCATCCCTAGAGATAGTCAAAACTGGCCTGCACAGGGTCCTGAGCAACCTGCTGTGATTGACCTTGCTTTGGGCTGGGATTTGAAGTAGACCAGAGGTCTCCAGAGGTCCCTTCCAACTCAGCAACTCTGTGAAAAGTCATTAAAAAAATCATGTTCTTTCAATGGAATCCTTTTTGACATCTTTCACAGCTTTTTAACTCAGGTGCTTACTTCTTTGATCTTGTGATTGATTCATCTGCGCTCATCTCAGCCACATCCCACTCAGATTAGTCACTGAAAATCCAAACCCCTTCCTTTTAATCAAAGCTGTCCCAGATTTGGAGACTTCACAGATTCTTTAACTTTCTACCTAAAACGTTATGCAAAGGATACATACTTTTGAATTTCACAAGAAATATTCAGACATCTGGCTCTAAAAGGTATTTGAATACATGAATAATCCCAATGAATTCCAGAGAATGACTTGCCTATTTAAATTTAGGAAAGAGTTTTAGTATGTTGCAGAACTGGACTCTTAACACACACAAACCAAATCGACATGTGCTGTGGTCTCTGAACACCCACCAAACTAGTGCACGGAGTCAAGGAAGCTCAGCGTCTCTCTCAGGGTCAGATTTTCACCCCAAACACCGTAACTATAGGTCTATATTCATCAAGTTTGTATAAAAAAATTCTAAAACTGTATCAGTCAACTCACACCATCTAAACCAAATTAAAAACAAAGAAGATAAGCACAAGAAGAACTCTCCAGAGTAATTAACTGAAAGAAAGAATCCTAATAGAATCCATAACCTTCCTCAGGAAGAGCACACAGAGATACTACATTTACAGTAGGTTGGTGCAGACTGCCTTAGCAACAGTGCTATCAAGCCAATATTGGTCAGATATGGAAAATTTCTCAAACTACAGAAATAGGAAGCTGACGACATAGCCAAGGGCTCTGATCTATCAGTTCTAGTCAAATAGGGTATCAGGTTTGGCTCTGCTAAAGTCAAAGGGAAACCTGCCTCTGACTTCAAAAATTATTTCATTCTCTGTTTCTACACTCCTCAACTAGCCACGGTAAGAGGGGTGCCTAAACAGCACTAAAACCACCTACTGGGGAAGAAGGCATAACTAAAAATCACAGCAGTGACTTTCTGGTTTATTGAAATAAGGAAATTAAAGTCATCTCAGACTAATGTACTACAGATCTTTAATGACATTCAATTTTTTTTTCTTTTCCTTCAAACAAAAACAAAAAGGCAATATGCATCATCACAAAATACCTGTTGTATAGAATATCATTGCTTGTATAATGAAATTTTACCCTGCTATCAAAAGCTATGTATTTACAGCGCTCCATACTGGTTTGCTAGAAAAAAAACGATGTGAAACAAAAATAACAGAAGTGGCAAACCTTTAAGCCTTTCAGCATCTGATATACCAGGAACTGGATTCGGTCTTCAGTTAGCTTCTCATGCTTCATTATCTTACTCAAGTCTGTTCCCATAAATGGCATGACTAGGTAGCTTAAAAAAAAAAAAAAAAGTACAGAATAACTCTAAATTTGTAAAATAAATTGAAACATAATTGCATGTTATGGTTCAGTGACAAACTTGAATGGCAGATCATTGTGTTTACCAAGCAGTTCCACTGTCTCCCCCCCCTAAGTTTCTCTTTTTTAATCTATTTTTTGATTGTCATAAATAGATATCATACAACCCTGCCACTGGTTACAGAAAGTTACTAGTTATCAGAAGAGTACAGATGCTGAACTAGATTAAAAGAACCTAATCAAGAGCCACGTGATACTTCAAAGATACCTATGCAGAAAACTACGACATTCACACAACGTTACTTATCTTACAATCATGATCATATGATAAGCGAACTGGCAGATCTTAGCAACAACAAAACTGATTAGGTGGTTCATTCAAATAGACAAAGTCAGATGTATCAGGAACAGAGTTCATCAAATTAGGAGGCAACAACTTCTTCCATTACTTTCTATCTAGGATTATAAAATCTTTAACCTTTGGTACTTCTTATTGGACACTAGCAATAGAAAGCTTGAGAGTGTCAAGCTGACATTTTACGGATAGTCTTCATGAAAGATCTAAAATTGTTCATCTCATTGCTTCCAGTAAACTCATCAGAAAGACCCCTGAGAGCTAAGTCTGTACACAAACAGAGTTAGCCACATGCCTGGCATCTGAGGATAAAGTCACCAGTTCTCCTATTATGAAGAAAAACAGATGCATTGAAGGGAAGAGTTACATGTGATCACTGTTTCATGGATATAAGTTTTATTAATTAGCCTTAAATGGGTTCCTTTGGTTAAAATATGCAAATTATAATTATGCTGAGTTCTCTCATTAAAGCTGCATGAAAAACTTCATTTGTTGTGTTAGAACTGTAGCTACAAACTAAACAGATACTAAACACGAAGTTACAGGGAGATGGGATACTGATTTAATCACAAAGAGTTACAGACAGTAAATATACTGTTCCCTAGGTACCAAACCTTGTCCCCATGACTTGTGGGATCAGGACTCAGGCCCCCAATCCCAGCATTCACAGACAAATCTGCTATCCTTTGGATAGAAAATAAGTGAATTTAATTTAGTAACGACATAAGGACAGAGCAAATACGATGAAGAGAATGAAATTTCTTATCTCTCCCCAAGTATAAAACACGCTATGTTTCTCATCAACAGAGCAAATAACTTAGAAAACGGAATTTTACATCTGCTTTGCCTGATGTCCCAGCATCTTGAAAGCGTACTAAGTTCTACCTCCACCTAAACATTTTAAATACGTTTTCCTAGAGGTCATAAATATTTGAAATGAGCTAGAAAAAAAAGAAAAAAAAAAGACTGTTCTAAAAAAACCCAAAGGTGCTAAGACATGAGGTGAGACACATAGAGAAATATCTACACGTCTCTTTTACTACTGGTGGCGACTTTGAAGCATCCATAAGGAATTTTGTTAGCCTGCCATCATCTGTGCAAACCTCATGGCTCTGGGTGGACACTTATTTACCTAAACAGACAAAGTCCAAAACAATCTATAACCATTAGGTAGTGTAAAGAACAGGATGGGAAGAATAAATAAGAGTGCATTTTTACACATGCACCATTTGGTAAGTTTACAGTTCGATGACTTCAAATTTATAGCAGTAAAGACAGAGAAAGATCCGGGGCATGGGGGAACAAAAAAAAAAAATACAGGAGGTGGAAAACCCACTCCTGTTTGAGTTTGAAAAGCCAAAATTTACTAAGTTTATGACCAACACTGGAATAGGACAACAGTGGGATAGAACACCACGGGCACTTATACACAGAGGGAAAAAGGAAGAAAAAAAAAAAAGAGATCAGTTACACTATAACATTCCATAAAGGAGCTTCATCTTTTGATCAAAAAACTCAATGTTACTTCATACACGTTACTTCAATGTTACTTCATACGACACAGATTCCTGAATGGAAAGTATCACTGTGGCCAGGTCACAGCAGCTGCAATGCTGATAATTTATTATTATATTATGGGTATTTAGAAGTGTGGTAGCTACATGTGGCTTCCATGGCTACACATAAGAATTACTGGTTTGGTTTCAGAAAGAGTATCATCATAATTAGCAAATACAGAGTTTAAATCGTCCTATGCAAACAGCTTCTCACAGATCTGTGTTGGACAAAAGTCACCTGCTCTTTTGGGGTATAGATATGTTGAGTCACTCTATCAGATCTCTGACTGGCAGTAAGGCTCATGACAACACAGTCTAACTAAACCACTTCAGTACAATATTTTGCCTAGGGGATTTCTAAACATTTCTACCTTGCTATAAATCTTGCAGAGTTTGGGTTTGTTTTTTTTTTTTTGGGGGGGGGGGGGGAGGGAAGAAAGAAACCACTTCCAATAGAATCGTCTTTCAAGATAAATTCAAATAAGCAAACTCCTCCAGAAAAAACAAAATCAGAAAACTTTTTACATTGAACAACTACTTAAAACCATTCCACTTCCAAAATGCATTTAAATCATGAGATAAGATTTGTTCTAAACATACTAATACAAACTTGCCAATTCAAGTGGTGGAGATATTACTCACACTGTCTTTGAACACTTTGTCTACTACTTAAAAATTAGAAAACTTATTTTTATTATTAAAAATGTATTTACAAACCACAGCTGGAGTCGTCAAATAATCTGAAGATATTAGGCACCCAATCCATAATTCACTTCAGTAAGAGCTTGATAACTAAGCCTTTGACGTTTCTTGCAAATTCCAGTTAAGGTCCGAAAACTCTTGCAACCCAAGGAGCAGCAACCCTTTCTGGCACATTTTGTACAATACAAGCACAGACTATGAATGTAAAGAATACAGATCAAGTGGGTAAAAAGAAGCTGTGTAGTAGGATTCAAACTAGCAAAGGTTTATGCACCTCTCTGATTCTGCCCACTATTTCAATCAGCTGAACTCCCAGCACTGAAGGACGTTAAACACAAGCGTGAGTATAGGAAAGATGTTGAGTGCTCCTTCCTAAAGCAGAAGGGACTTTGTCTTCAGTTGTCGTTACACTGGCTGGGTAGAGCATGTCAGGTAGAGGAAGAAGCATACTCCCCTCCAGATAGGCAGGCTAGAAGTGAGCTATAAGGTAGGAGGGCTCCATGCCACGTTCCAAGGAATCCTGAGGTCTCAGACGAGAACAGCTCTAGGGACCGACTGTGGTGAAACCACCACCTGCCTCACTACTGCTGCTTCTAGATGCAAATCAGCTTGAATTCTGATCTTTATAAAATAGGTCATAGATAACTTCTCGCGACTAGCCAGCAAAAAGGAAAGTCTCCCTCAAATGACTCTCTTGACCTTTAATCCACATAAGCTGTTTCTCCACTTCTGCTTTAAGTATACACACATTTACCCTTGTTCATATCTACCAAAAGTCTTGAAAGCACATTTCGCCACAGGTCCTACCTGTTACATATTTAGTTATAACACTGTCCCTCCTACTTGACTTGCACTTCCCAAACTTGAAGGATGACTTTTCGTTACCATTTAAAATGAAGTCCTTGAATGCTAATCTTATGTACATGCATCGTACTACGTATGTTATGTAAAACGCTAGCATGACAGGCAACATGGACAGCAGAACTCTTGGCTCAAAGGCGTAAATGATCTATATGATTGAAAGATCAATACGGTCTATTTTTTTTTTTGTATTTCATTTTCCATCTTTTCTTGTTAGATAACTTTGCATACTTGTATGTTAACAAAAAAAGTTTGTTTTTGAAACATATAAATTACATTAGAGGAAATCCAAAACAGGTCTACCAATGTAACATGAAGTACAGTAGGACTTCTGACCACTGTTTCTTTAATGAATAGAATTCACAAGAATTGCAGCAGGGTCCACAGGCAAGACAGGCATGCTAAATATCTGGAGCCTGAGATGCTGCCAAAAGGCCGGAGAAATGCACATGTCTGGTGCTAGAAGCAATCTCTGTCACGTACTGTTCGGTCCATTTTGTGCTATGGGGAAAGCCAAGAGGTAGTACAGACCACCCTCAGCTGGATGCAAGCAATTGCAGAATGGGCAGTCAGGGAGTACAACAGAGCAGAGCTCACATAATCACAAAAATGGCAACAAACAACAGCCCTTTTGAATTAATCCTAGAATTAGGATGGGGCGCACTGGCGACGTGTCACGTGGCAATCATCATTTCCAGATTGGCAAATGACTACTGCATGACACATCGCCAATGTGAACCATCCTAACTCCAGTCTGAGTTAAGGATAGCTCTATAATTTGGTCATTCTGGGCTTTACGGTAAGGAATCAATACTTTAAAGGAGGTTTAGGAAATCCATCAGACTGCAATTTACTAAGGAGTGAAAGAAATACACACCTTGTAAGATAGGTACCTGGTTCTAATAATAACCCGAAAACCTCAGCCTACCAATTTTAAGTAGCATACAAGTTGTAATACAAGTTGTATTAAGAGGAAATTCAGTAAAAGCCATGAAGCAAAGTTTTTGGAATTCTCCAGAAAAAAAAAAACACAAACAACCCCTCCGCCCAAACAAGCAATAACACCTCCCAAACACAAACAACTCCAAACTTACAAGTCATTAAATTTCTCCAGTGTTATATCTGGTGTGAACACGTCCAATATTCCAATGACCTAAAAATAAGGGGGGAGGAGGGGAAAGGATTAATATTGTCTTAACACAAAAATTGCCAAACTGCGTGACGCGTGAAAAAATATAACCAAAAACATTTTCATAATGAAGCATTAGCTATAGGCATACAGATGGCAGAAACAATATTTAAAGTAGTGCCTAGCAATATTAGGATTTGTTATGTGTTAAATTTTACAACTCTGTGGACAAGTCAACCCAGTGGTAAATAAAAAATTAAATTGTATTTATTTCCATAAAAAGTTCAGAGGTTAACAATTTTACGTAAGAGGAGACGGTACCTTTTAACTTGAACCACTTTAAGTACTTAAAAATAAACCAGCAAAATAGCTTATACTCTAAAGCAGTCATAATTCTTATTTACCAAGCTGACCAGCTGCCTATCAATGAAGAACATCAAACGCTTCAGGACATCTTCTAATTTCAGTTACGGCATAATTTAGATATATAGATTATAATCCCTAAATGGGAATGGGGACAGGAAAGTAGGACTAAACTCTCTAAAAAAGAGTAAATTACCAAGAGCTTAATATAACTTACTCTGGCTTATATCTTAGGTTCTCCTTAAGAGCATTTTGTGCCAAATAAATGCATTCTATTACCCAAAAGAGAAGTTACAAACTAGTAAAAGAGACTTCCCCATCACAGTTTATATATGAGCATGTTTTTCAATAGAACTATACCAACCGACTAAATTAATTATGGCAACTGCCAAGGCTTCTCCCAAACCCATTACACTTTAGTAAATTACACACATAGAGCCAGATGCTCTGAAGGGTGTAGCTCAAATGTAGGTGTCTAAAGCCAAATCCCCGCTCCGATGCTGCCAAATCCAGGAAATGCCTAAATACTCCAGGCATTTAGAGCTGCTTATTTTCAACTTCCCGCATTGCCCCAGCCTTGACAAGGCCCAAGGAGGCTCAATGTCTTGCTCAAATCTAAGCCCAATTGGAATCCAGCAATCAGGCATACCTCTTAAGAAATCTGGTAGATATAGCACATCTATGATAGGCTGACATGTGGAGATGTCTTACAACGTATAGCTAAGGCCACTGCTTTCTTTTAAAAGATGGACAGAAAAAGTGGTTTCCTGAGTTCCCTTCTTTCAAAGAAGCTTAATATGTGAGCATTCAGTCAGTAAATGAAAGGCCTAAATTTAACTCCCTTCTTAATCTAAAGGGGTCAAGCCTTGCACAGAGATATCTGATCGCAAGCCATAAAGATTTTCCCAAAGAGGGAGGAAAAGCACTCTTGCAGATCGTACTGAAAATGTCACTATTGAGAACACTTATAAGCAGGCCACACAAAGAATACATGGAAGACCGTAACTGTTACCTAATAATAAAGGAATTAATTTGTGTACAGGGAAGACTCCCATGTTCCTTACTCCAGACATCGAGGCACTAATTCTTGACAATTTCTGTTTACTAAAGGGGAGTCTTCTAAGCAGGGAACAGGATCTAGGACACTGCCAGCAGTCAAGGGCTCTACACACTGGACTACTCATACTCCTTTCTCAGATCCAGGCTGCCAAGTCAGTACTGAAATACAGTCATTTGGGTTGCTGGAACATGTGCTGTCTAAAACAGTAGCTCTTTGGATCGGTCTTCTGCTGGTGCACATGCCTCTCCCAACTTCCTCCTTTATAGGAACTGTCTTATGATAGTTTTTTAGAAAGGCACGCCAGAAGTCCAAGGTAACTATAGTAAAGAAAACAGTTGAAAGTCACACTATAAAAAGTTACCCAAAACAGTTCTGACAAAAATTACATTAGGTCTATAAGCTAGGCAGTGAGACAGACTATCACACCATCACAAAACCATGCCAGGGCCGTCTGTCTCCAATCCCCTTGTCAATGCTGAACAGCCTCTGTGTTGACATTCTGAAACCTTTTTTCAAAAGTTAACTGTTTAATCTTGTCTTCCTATTTTCAACAGGTATTAACAAATGGGGCAGATTCCATAAGGGAAAGAAAGCAACAGGAATGGAAAAGTGAACAGATTATGATTATTATTCCTAAAAGATTTATAACCTTTTCAACCTTATTCAAACCTATCTCCATGGCTATACAGTTTAAGGACATCGGATTATACACCAAATTAAAACTGTAAAAATTCGTAATCAGACCTCATGAAAGAAAGCACAGTTAGCACCATATTATGTTGTCTGACATCACAGAAGAATTATAAAATCTACTTTGATAACAATGAAGATGCATTTTGGCCTTTGTTTTGGGGAATAATTAAGATACTTTAATAGAGATCTTTAAAAAAAGTATGCGGAAGTAAAGAGAAGGGAGGTCAGAAATGCAGGAAAAAAATTACAGGAAAAGAAAGAGGACTTCCTTTATTTAAAGCTCTAAATAAAAATCTCCAGATTCTCCGGTAGCGAAGCCCTTAGCACACATTTTTATCCTTTCCTCATTCAGGGAGAAATACCACAGTTAGCTTGGATGCTATCAAAATGTTGCAAGAATAAACAATATAGAAAATCTAATAAAGATGAAGACAGGAAGATTATAACTCTCTATCTTTCTAGCCACGCAGATCTGAAAAAAATCACTAAGAATATTTTCCCCAGGGTTTGTAATATGAAACCAATTAAATAACATAACCACCACGAAAACAATAACTAGAACCAGAGAAGACACATGCATTTGCACTAACATCCTTAGCGCTAACATTACAGAAAGAAATAATTTTTTAGCTTTTTACATCAGAATTTTACACAAGCCTATAGCAAAAGTTTTCCATTTCTGATGCGGAGGAAAGGACAGGAGGGAAAACGGAGGAACTGGGAAGGTGTACAGGACAACAATGCGGCATTATCAACTCAAAGGGCCTTTCCTAAGGCTAAGGCAGTGTATGCATGCATACTACACATAAGGCCAGAAAAGGTGTGTGCTCTCCATATTCTAATGATTTCACTATTATAAAGAAGGAAGTTGATCTTTTAACAGTAATCTTATCCACAACGTATGCCTTTCCCTATAAAAACCCACTTTTTCAGGGGAAGAAGTCCTTCCTGTTCTCTTCATGGAGATGGTTTCCTTGCCTTCACTTACATAAGCTGTTTGCCTAAGCGATATGAAACATAAGAAAATAAACTCCATCGTATCTGAACATAGCAGTGAATGATACAGGGACAACATGAAAAGAACTGACAGAGCAGTAGATGAAATAGTATGAATGCCATGCCACATTGGTAAGTATATAAAACTGGTATCAAACTCCCGGTGTGAAACACAGAAACTTGAAGAACGCATTTCAATACAGATCATATCAGACTAAAAAAAAATGAATGAAGTTCAGTAAAATGTAGTTCAGTAAAATGTTACCTCATCTCCATTACAATAAATAAGGCTTCTGGTAGTTACTTTATGGCTCCTGACATGCAAAATACATTACTGAATTCTGAGATAAAGGTGCAAACTAATGGAGAAAAGCTTACCATTTGCTTTCACTGTTGCAAAATCTGTGAAGTGAAAAAAACCACAGAGACCAACACTCTCCTCCTACTGAAGGGCATTTTAAATAACAAAACAAAAATTAGCTTCTCTTTTAACATGTCAAGTATTTCACAATACATTTTTTTTTTTGCTTTATGTAGTGAGCTTTTTAAAACTCCTTAAATTCATATTAGTCTCCACAATGGTAAGTCAAGTCAAACTCATAGTTAGTCCTTTAAAGAAAAAAGTGAGGGATCCATTTCCTTCTCCTCAGTGATCTTTATTTAACAGCTGTGCTTTGAGATGATTTTCCTTTACTGGAACAGAGTCATTATTATTTCCATTTATGTCACAGCTTTCTGCAGATATGTTAAGAACAGGGAGGTACAGGATAAAATAAATCCTTTGAGGAAGATGCAGCTCCAGCTACTCCCTCAGGAAAAGAGCTGGACAGAGTGTAGGAAACTCTCTCCTCCATAGTATCACGGAAAATCCTATGTCTGTGAAAAATGCTCTCTCTCAATTAAATGTAATATTTGTAAAAATTTTACAGTACTTAAAGACACTATCCCAACACAAAAGTAAGCTAGAGTAAAACATAAACTCCAAGAATCATTTATTTTTCATAGTGTGGTTTATACGAAATATAACCGAAGTACCTTTCAAACATTCTGAAGTTATACTTTGGGTGTTAACTCAGCACACTTACTATGATCAGAGATGAAGGCATAGACAAGTAATGAACTCACTACACATTCTGGGATAGCCATGAAAAGCATCTGTGGAAACCAGCAGCAGCACTACCCTTGTATGGTCTCCTTTTTTTCCCATTAATTCTATTAAAAGACAATTTCTAGAGCAAAGAAGCCCACAAAGGATGTACTTTGTCTACAGCTGGCCATCTAACTGAAAATAACTTGGATATCTGTGAACTCCACTAACATAACTTCCTCGTTTCAAAATATATAACCCAAAGCAGAGAGCACAGTATGGTGCCTCTCCCCTTTTCCAGCAGAATTTTGTAGCACGAAACCACAGTAATAGCAAAACTACTCCTCTACTGCTCTAACTTGTTTTACATGGGATATGTTTTTACTCAAATATTTACTCTGTTTTGTCTCTTTCCTAAGAAGCTAGTGGGGAGAGGGTGGCAGTGTGTTCAACCCTTCTCCTCCTCCTTTTCCCCCCATACAAGACATTTATATTGACCAATTTTAACAACTGTCAACGAATAAACAATAGCTTCACGTTTGTAAGGTAGTTTCTGTCCTTTGCTTCTCAGTAGACAGCTGCTTCCTTTTCCAAACCCGGTTGCATCGATGGAACACAACAGTTAAGAGCTCCTACCCTTATGTCCTCCCACGCACCTTCATTTATTTGATTACCTGTATTCCAGGACTGTTCCACTGTACTTCTATAAAGGAAATTTTATATGTAAGCAGCAGTGAAGCAACCAAAGACTCAGATCATGTATAAATTAGTAAGTAATGTAGCTTATGTCTCTTATACAGTAAGTGCTTCTTTATCTTGGGGATG